GGGGAAAGGGGGGCATTAATTGCATTGCATGTCGCAACCTAAAAGAGAATTTTTACTACAGGCTTGGATGTCTTGTATCAGAAATGAGCTTCATGGACATTCATACAAAGTGCACATTAGTACACTGTACAGAAAAATATATTAGCAGTAAATATTTGATTCTGGAAACACCAGCTACTGAGGTTGATATTTATAATTTAGAATAGTAACCTTGACTTCCATCAGTAAGTATGTTTACTGACACCGCTAAAATCAATTCATACCACATATAGCATACAACCTATATCTTCACAGAGCAAATCTTAAGAAGGGCATTCAAATTACATGCCTTTATGTTGGGTGCCTATTATACTGGTATTTAGCCACAATTTTTTGGCAATAAATGTTCAGACAAAAGGAAATGTCATACTCTAAAACCAGAGAAGCTACTGAGTGATTCATATGAAGGAAATGTGCATAATCTAAACTTGGATAACACAACATTTCAGATTAGAGAGTCCCTGGCACCCACAATTGTGAGACAAGTCGAGCCACTGACTTCAATTAGTGAAGATAAGCACAGGGGTAGGTGTTTGCAGGATTACACCACAAGCTTTTTGTAGCAAGAGACTGTTTGTGCTCTATTTCCAGACAGTACTGAACACAAAAGGGAAGCAAGTTGGGCAAATATTGCACTCCTGCAATATATACAATACATGATAAAGACAGCAGATATCAGGTATTTTTCAATGGGGAAGAAATTAATCACTAAAGTTTATATTTACAAAAAAAAGACAAAAATCCCATCTGTAGACCAACTTAAAGTGCCTTATGTTAAAAACCCAACAAAGACAAAACCAAAAGCAACCTGGTTCTGTAAAAAAAAAAAAAAAGTAAAAAAATTCACTCATCTGACCTTAGAGCAAAGGAAAAATGAGGGAAGATACTCTACCAAGTGAAAAAGCCACACGGCACTGCACACATCTCCCTACAAACTACTACAAAAAAAGATGTGAAAACCAGAATTACAAAAAACAGACTCAATTGATAGGCAGCACTAAGGAACAGTTAAATGTACTTTTAAAAAACAAAGTTATAAGAATGCAAGGAAATATCTGGTAAAGCTCTAGTTCTTGTTTTATGCATACACAATTATAATTCTGTTTTCATGATTTCTCCACCTACAGATATCACTGATGTGACCTGATTGAAACCCTTGAACCTGCATAGGATGTTTGTAGTTGAACTAAAGCCCTTTTAAATGGTAGGGGATTATACTGAAAGAAGAGATGAAAAATTAAGTACAACCTTAGAGCTTTGGTGACATAATCCTGCATCTGATAGAGGAATGGATGGCTTGCTAAACTGGAACTAGCAAACAGTAATTTAGAATTGCTTTTCCCTTGTACTCTTGCCACCAATCCCGAATTTATATTGAAACAGCACCAGTTTCTTTAAAGCTATCTTTGGAAACAGAGTTGGTAAACATGTTAGTGTATTTAGCATACACGATGTGCCATCAGATTCAATACAATCTTCATTTCTTTACCTAGTGGCATAAGGGAGGACCTGGTGTGGTGCGATAGAAAAAGGACCATATCCTTTGTGGTGTACCACATTCAATTAATATGTCAGGCTTTCTAAGTCTGTCACTGTTCACAGTGGGTAGAACAATTGTTTTGCTTCCCCACTCCCCTCTTTTTCCCAAATTTCAAATAGTATCACTCTGAAAAAGAGTTATGGATTTCCTTCTCAGAGAACTGCATGGACTGATAAAGTAAAATCCACGGCAGAAAACAACTTGTTATTTTTTCCCTCTCTCTCTCTCTCTCTCTCAGCTGAAATTATGAGGTAGAGAATGTGCAATAAATTTTGGCGGGGGGTGGGAAAAAAACGAGACCACTTTGGACATTTCTAATGACCAGTCTATGTAAACACTATTGAGAAATATGGGCAAGAACAATTTGTCTAAGGGAACGATTATTTTTCTTGCCTCAAAGTCTAAATGTTACTTTTGTTAGGTTGAGTATTTTGAAATTTTAGTTCATTTAAGTAGAGGGGGAAGAAAAATAATTTTTGGGAATGCTGGACATTTGCTTTTTGCCTCAACTAACACACCCCTGCTGCAGTTTTTTTTTTATATTATATAGTCAACAGAACAGATTTTGATTCCACTTACTCTAGAGATTAAAAATCTGACTTCAGGAGTTTAAATGATGGCCAATACAAAGGGTACTGGTCTCTCCATGGGGATCTCAAGTGCTGGGACAAAATAAGTAATTCATCATCACCACCACCACCACCACCACCAATGGGCACACACTTGTCATGCTAACAATTTAGCAAATGCTAAATTCTGTGCTGCTGTAAACAATCATGATTTCACTGGCTTTGATGCAACCTCATCAATTTGAGCCAACTGAAAAATGTTGTCATTGTGTTTTTATCAGCTCCCTGAGCCTACTCAAATACGGTGCCTCAACCCAGTTCATATTCCCCCTGAAACTCAATTAGAGGCTGCTGTACACTAGCCCTTACTTTAAACACAGCTCCACAGAGTTTACTCTATTATCTCACTAAACGAACATCATTTCCTCAGTAAGTCTTCCTGCTCTGCAGATAAAATGCCAAATAAATATACAAATGATGGGTTTTTTGTTTTGTTTTTCAGGGATAATCAAATGCAGGAAAATCCTCTTGTTGGTCTACCAATATTGCTACCCTTGCTTGCCAGCAGCCCAGGGGATATGCTAGGGAGCTAGGGAAGCAGCAGCAGCTTGTTGCTAGAGCTTCAGGATCTCTGCCACCCAGGCTAAGAGGTGCTTGTGAGGATAACTGACTCAAACTGGGCAGCAGTCAGCTCTCCTCTGATTCAGTAAAATCCCACTTAAAACTTTTAACATTCACCTGTCGTGTATTTATTTACCCTGCTTTCAAATCAAACAGGATCCAATCAGTGTGGTGCTTGTAATGTAGCTTGTTGTGACACAGCAGCTGAGACGAGCCATCCACATTCCACAACGCGCTTCTTAATATGAATAACTAATGACTCACACTGACACGATCAAGGCCAGGAACCAGTCTGCAACTATAAAGAGTTATAACATGCAACTCTCTCAGCACCGCAGCCAAGTCGGTGAGCGATCTGTGCAGTTTTGCACTCACTATAGACTGAATATGCGTGTCCCTATACAGATGGCTTGGATGATTAGCAGGTCTATGTTTCAGGGAAAGAGTTCAGATGTATCACAGGCTATTTAGGGGGCAAGTTGAAAGAACACAGAGAAGTTTCTCATGCTAGCCCACTTGCTTACTAATACGAATAACTGATGACTAAATCATCTTCTCCACAGAGGGCTGTGAGAATATCAGAGCAGGATTGCAAAAATTCTTTGTCCCTGTTTAAACAAGACAGACTTCTGGATGTTGCTGCTCAATTCCTTCTACACTTAGAGGACCGGCTATTTTTCCCTAAGTGTGGTTACAGCCAATAATTTACAAGTATCAGGGAACAACAAGGCATGGAAAGCAGCACTAAGCTTATCCACAGCTTTTCCTGGGTCACGTGAGTTACAACTAACTTTAAGCAAGTTTCTGAACTTTTCTTACTTCTCAGTGAGCATACTTCTTCCTTTTGCCACCCTGACTGCAGCAGAAATGAGCCAGCATCACGCTCTGCTGGCTATACACATGAGCTTGCTTTTCATTCAGTATGCTTTAGCCTGTAATACACACAGTCTGCTGTTGGCTGCTATTTTTAATGGCTTTAGCTCAAAAGCAATGATGCTGCCACAATGATCCAAAAAAAGGTTTGTGCTCCGGTGGTTGTATTGTGCATAATTCATATGAATTGTAAGACCACACTTGGATGTGCATGGAGAAAATTCATAAGCATGCAATAACTCTTTGAATGGTTTAAAGGAGTTTTTATTATAGTACCTCTAAAGAACTGACAAGATATGAGCTAGTAATCCAGTAACCTAACACAGAGAAAATTCCTCAAAGAAAAGAGAAGTGAGAAGAAACCTATGCACTGTAAAATTCTCCCAAAATGTGCAACAAAGTTACATTTTCTTAAACATGGGACAGTTCAAATTATATTTTAAAAGCTGAATAGCACTTACCTCTTACGAAGCACTGTTGGTAAGAAGGAAATGACTCAAATATGCTGTTTGAAGCCATAGTTTCCTCTTTAAAACTTACTCTCTCTTTAAAGTGGGGGAATATATAATTTCTTTCACCTTGGGAAGTGAAAAATTAAGAATGGTCACTGTTACAACCCTCCTCCCAGCCATCACTCTCTATTTTATCTTAGTGCCTCTGAAGCAACATAAGCCAGATTATAAGGTTCTTTTTCTAAAGCAAACTCTTAAATTGTTTTAAAAAAAAAATAGCGGATCAGTTGTGGTTTGATGATGCTTACCACTCTATGAAACTCTGTGGTTTGCAGTCAAAACGATTTGCCCTGTCTGCTGACCAATATCCCGGACCCGCTCTTGTGTGACTGCCTCTGTACCCAGCTTGTGGTTCTGTGGTTGTTTATGAGGCCCAAAGAAGTGTTTCACACAACCAAAATTACAAATTTAACTGTTCCCCTTTCCACAACCTGTCTCAATTGGCCCTTACCAGTCACATGACTTCAGTGATGTCGACTTTTTAAAAAGAAAAAAAAAAAACTTTCTAAGCAATGTCCTACCCACTCCACCTGCCCTCCCTCAAACTGAGCAAAGAAACAGTAGAGTTTGGAGAGAGAGAGAGAGAGAGAGAGAGACAGACAGAAGGTAAAAAATGACTTACAGCCCCTTCATCCTACCAATGGTCTTGCTGATTTAGTACAACTCTGCTTGTTTTGTTGTTTGTGGTTTTGGAACTACTGATTATTTTGATAGAGATTTCATTGCTGCTTATTCAGTAGTAATTCAAACCCTAGTATTAGGCTAATGCTAAAGCAGGATGTATAAAAGTCACCATTTAAAAACATTTGAAATCAGCTATAAGAAAGCCCACTAGCTAGGAACACTAGCGCAATGATTAAGATGAAAACAATTTATAGCTGTACCCTCTAACAAGGAAAGCTAAGGAAACTACTTAACATATGCTCTCAACAAAGGGTGTTTAGGTTGTAACTTATTTCTACAGGGTGACATTCTGTAGTCCTCTCTCAAGGCACAGTTCCCATTGCCTTCAGAAGGGGTTCTACCTCTACTGAAACCTGCCTCAGCGTTTTTAGATCACCATGAAGCAAATGAGCTAAGAACTCAATACTTCACATTTCTTTCCTTCCAGGAAATGAAAGGAAACAATAAAGCTTTCTAGCAGAACAGGCCAGCCCATGCTATTCTGGCTCTGGTCGGAAAACTACAAAGCCACTTATTATAGAACAAAGCAGTGACTGTTATGGCAGCTATTGTCTCCTTTCTGCCCTCTTCTGAATACTGGACAGCTATCGTTTTTGCACTTCATTGCAAATCAATAGGATACCTCACACCTGTACACAAGGTTGGAGCTCAGCCCATAATAGGGGGTTTTGTTTGTTTTTTCCTCCAAACATCAAACATTTGCCAAAGAACAAGTAAAAACAGAGGAAATATACTAATGCATTTAGTATAGCAAAAAGACCATTTTCCTGTACCCTCTGCATGATTAATACAATCAAAAGAATAGTAGTTACAAGCAATACTCATTCATAGTGATAACCGTGTATTTGACTGCAGTTGTTCTTAGACTCCAAAACAGGGCCAGAGCTCCATTGGGTTGGGTATGGCACAAACACATAGGAAGGAATAGTTCTTTTGCCCAGGTACCCCAAGGAAGAAAGAGGGAAGGGTCTCACTGTGTGTCATGCAACTCCTTCATAATTTTCCATGTGTACGCTCTTACCCTGAGGGAAATGAAAGCCAGACTGTAGTAGTTTACCCGCCTTCCACTGAGAAAGCATATAGACCGTTACTATGAAATGGTTAGCACAGTATAAATCCTTGCTCTCTTTCCTTTATCTCATGGTAATTAATTTTGGTCCCATGCCCCAAAATCCCCCATTATAACAATCAGACTGATGTAGTTAGACTCTAGAACTGCCAAAACATCAGTTACTTTCATGAGGCTCTAGACAGGTGCAAATGTCAATGGACATGAATCAGGGACTGAATCCCAAAATCATTCCTTTTAATAAAAGCAAATCCATACTGGTTTTTTAAAATCTCAGTTTTTGCTGTAAATTTGAAAATAAAAAATCCTTTCCTTACTGGACTTTTGTCTTTCTCATTTGGCTAACACTGACTTCTCCCCCATGTTTCTAATACTGCTACCATAATATTTACTTGGTGCTGTTGGCTTGCTTCCTCTTAAGAGTTTATCAGAAAAAAAAGCAATTTGTCAAAACCGAAACTTTTCACAGGGATGTACCAGTTTCAGTGAAACTTTGGTCCAGAAAGTTCCAAGTTGAAATTTCTGCTCAGGTCTGATCTATAACCCTGAATAATGAACAGCATGGGTTTCACCCATAATGTGTGAGAGAGGGGCTCAAATCCTAGCTGTCCCTGAATCTGACCTGGAACTTTAACCTGGTGACTTGCAATCTCTCCAATTGGACCTCTTCACTTTATATAAATAATTAAATACTAATTGATCAAAGCTAAATCAAATGTGAGAAAAAAAATTGACTTGAGTCAACTGGTTAGGTCATTCACTTGGATGTAGGCTACTCAATCTCAAGTCTCTCCTCCACTGCTGAACATTAATTTACATAAATAGGGTGCATCTACAGGAGATATTTACAGTGGAGTTGCCTAATTAGCTCCATAGTAAATGTCATAGCATCTACAAGTGCAGTACTATTACGATGGAGTATACTAATTAACTCCACTGTAATTTACTATTTGTAAATGCAAGTACTATCCCACATCAGAGTTTTTTACTCCACAGCAATGCATGTGTAGATGCTGATGGGGCTGGCTGTGTCATGGGGGTGCTTCAGTGCAGGGGCTGTCTGCTAGCTAGCCCCACACTGAAGCACCCTTGGGCCACAGCCAGCCCTTCTGCAGCATGCTGAGCCAGGCTGAAGCTGTCTCAGGCTGGCAGGCTGACCCTCTGGCCTCCATACCAGCTGGGGATGCTCTGACCTAGGTGCACATGCAGATGTGGTACCTGGCAGCAATAAACACCAGTGCAATATGTGTTGGGGTTTATTGCTTTGCATTAATTGCACTTGTAGGTGCGCCCATAAAGTAGAACACCTACTCAAGGAGGGATTGAGAGAGCTCCTTACCAGGCAAGCAATGAACTGAGAGATTAGGACACTCACAAATATGTAAGAGAATGGCAAGGCAGGAATTTAAATCTAGGTTCCCCCATGTCATAGCTCTCTTTTTTTTTTTGGGGGGGGGGGGGGGGGGG